ACATATATGTATATATGTATGTATATGAATACGTACATTTATATGTATGTGTGTGTTTATGTGTGTAGAGCATGAAGCTTCTCCTGAAAGTCTTTAAGTCTTTGTGTTCATGTGTTTCCATTTGCATGTGTGTGTGTGTGTGTTTGTGTGTGGAGGGTGGTGGAGGGGTGTTGTCTTCCAAATACACAAGTCACTGGTAGTGAAGGAGACATTTAACCATGAGCAAGGAAGAAACTGGACCTAAACTCTCATCCCACCCCTCCACCATCCGTCCACACTACTTGAGGAACTACTTTCCTGAGTAAAACCATCTACCTTGAACAAGAGAGCACAGGAGCAGTATGTGTGTATGTGAGTGTGTGTTAGGAAATACTTTTTCTCCCTGTGTGCACTTTGCTTAGATGGCAGAGGACCCTCAGATAAGAGGCTGGGTTTCTCCCTACTTCTACAGAGAGAGGAAGACTAAGAACTCAAGACCTCCAGCAGGAGTCAACAGTCTAAACAAGGCAGAGTGAGGACTTCAGAACAGGAGGTGGGACGGTCAGTTTCCTCCAACCGGCCTGAGAGAATAGGATTCAGGTCCCCAACAAGAAGGCACAGATATTTAGCTAAGGGTGGGTGGTCTCCCACCAGAGAAAGCTATTGGTGCAAGAAATACAGGAAAACTATTTGCTATGGCCAGGAGCCTCCATGCACCACCATGGCAACAGCAGCATCTGGCTTCCAGCAGCACAACCACAGTTGATGTGGAAGGAGGTAAGACTCAGGGAAGTCCTGTGCTGTCTTTGCCTGTGTCTAGCTTGTTCTCTCTTCAACCTCTCTGTAAAACTCCTCCAGGTAAAAGCTGCCTTTGAATTCCACAAACTGAACTGAGACCAACTCAACTCAGTGAACCAACCAAACTGTCTGAACAGAACTCAGAGATGTGCCTGCCTCTGTCTCCTAAGTGCTGGAATTAATTACCACCACTCCTGAATCTAAGCTTTTTTTGCTTGAAGCCTGCTCTGTACCAGGGTGACCTTGAAGTCAGACCTGCTTTCCTCTGTCTCTTGGGATTAAAGGCTTGCCTGTATGCCAGACAAGGGTAGACGGTTTTTAGAAGTGATCTCTTTCCAGAGCAGCCATGTTCTGAATTAAAACTCCCCTGTAGAGGAACTGATATCACTGTAATGGATTGAAGTTAGCAAATGGTTTATGTAGAAGGACAGCAGTTAGAGTGCCTTTGAAGGAGGTCCAGTCAAGTGACCATAATAAATCTAAATAGATGACAAAGCCTCCAAACATAAATGAACAGGAAATAACTCTGTAACCTTGTGGGAAACATTGGGTCAAAGATAATAGTTCTTTTTAACATAAAGGTTAGGATAAGTCAATAGAAAGTTAAATATACAGAATAACATAAGGTTAAATGTAATTGCACAACTTGCTGTATCTTGAACAAGAGTTCTATAAAAGAATAAGGTAAATGTTATTTTGTTGGTGGTGGTGTGTTTGTTTATTTAATTTAAATTTATTTTTTATAATTTATTCACTTTACATCCTGGTTATAGCCCCCTCCCCGTACCCTCTTGGTCTCACAATCCTTCCCTCTTACCTCCGATCCTGCTCACCTATTCCTCAGAAAGAGGGATCCTACCCAGCCATCTGGCCCAAGGTTATCCAGTCTCATTAAGACTGCCTGAATTCTCTTTCTCTGTGGCCTGGCAAGGACCTCCAGCAGGGAAAAGTGATCAGACAGCAGGCAACAGACTCCATGTCAGAGACAGCATCTGTTCCCCTTACTAAGAAACCCAGATGGAGAACAAGCTGCCTATGGAATACATCTGAACAGGTTCTTGGTCCTCTCCATGACTGGTCCTTGGTTGGTGCTTCAGTCTATGCAGGACTTCATGGGCCCAGATTTGTTGGCTGTATTGGCATTATTTATGGGGTTCCTGTCCCCTCCTGGGCATTCTATCTCCCCCCTCTTCCATAAGACTCCCTGTGCTCTGCCCAAAGTTTAGCTGTTGGTGTTAGCATCTGCTTCAATCCCCTGCTGGGTGGAGTCTTTCAGAGGACATCTATGGTAGGCTCCCATCCTTTCCCCTCTCTTCAGTGGCTTCTAGGGACTATTCTATTTGTTCATCTGAATGAAAATTAAACATTCCCCCTAGGGTCCTACTTGTTAAAAATCTTTAGGTCCATGTATTGTAGTATGGTTATACTCTGTGGCCAATATTCACTTAAGAGTGTGTATATACCCTATGTGTCTTTCTGGTTCTGGGTTACATCCCTCAGGATGATCTTTTCTACTTCTCTACATGTACCTGAAAATACCATGATTTCCTTGTTTTTAATAGCTGGATAGTATTCCATTGTGTAAATGTTCCACAATTTCTGTACCCATTTTCAGCTGAGGGACATCTAGGTTGTTTCAAGATTACAGCTATTCTGACTAAAGCTACTATGAACATAATTGAGCAATTTCCTTTTTGTATGGTGGAGCACCTTTCAAGTAAATATTCAGGAGTGGTATAATTGGGTTTTGAGGTAGAGCTACTCACTATTTTCTGAGAAAGCACCAGACTAATTTCCAAAGTGTTTGAAAAAGTTTGTGCTCCTGTCAGTAATGGAGGAGTGTTCCCTTCTTCCACATCCTCACTAGCATGTGCTGTCACTTGAGTTTTTGATCTTAGACATTCTGATGGATGTAAGATGGAATCTGGAGTCATTTCAATTTGCATTCCGCTGAACTAAGGACTTTGAGCATATTTTTAAGTGTTTCTCTGCCATTTGATATCCCCCTAGAGAGAATTCTCTGTTTAGCTCTGTACCCCATTTTTAATTGGATTACTTGATTTATTGCTTTTTAATTTCTTGAGTTCTTTATATATTCTGGATGTTACCCTCTGTCACATATAGGGTTGGTGAAGATTCTTTCCCAGTCTGTAGGCTGCTGTTTTGTTCTGATGACAGTGTCCTTTGCTTTACAGAAGTTTTCAGTTTCATGAGGTCATATTTATTGATTGTTGATCTTATAGTCTGTGCTGTTGGTGTTCTGTTCAGGAAGTTGTCTCCTGTGCCAATGAGGTCAAGGTTCTACCCTACTTTTTCTTCTAATAGAGTTCCTTCTAACAGAGTTCCTTCCCTGAGACACACATGTTAGAACAAACCTTCCCAAAACTCTTCTGTGATCTTCATGTGTGTGTGCATGTGTACCTATGGAACTACAGTAACGTTTAAATGTGACTCAGAAATCCATGGTGAAAACTACTGCAGAGCAGTCCTGCAGATTTTGTGCCTTACTGGTAAACACTGAAATGGTAAGCCACTTCATATACACACAGAAATCTGGCAGTGTGGCTGTTCTCATCTAGGCTATGGTACTCATCAACACCTCGGAGAACAGCAAGAGGTCCATGTACTGCACAATGCAGTCCCAAAGGTGGGACAAAGCCTCTATTTATGGAGAAGCTATCAGGAGGAAAGCCTGCATTAGGGGTTACTACTGAGAGCAAGGAGGACACTACTTCGTGACTATATAGTCAAATGATTGGCTAGGGGTTTGCCTCAGCTCTCACACCCCAACTCGGCCCATTAGGTGTCTTTGTGTTCTCTCATCAACTTGATTGTAAATGGGTCCTCTTCCGTGACCTGCATATCTCCATGACCCAGACACCACACAGACACTCCTAGGTTAACTGAATTCCTAGTGGTCACTGCTGCCAACATATTCATGGGCAATGTGTCTCCAGGGCTTAGAGACACTGACACCCACCTGGAGCTTCCTGACATGTCCTTCTGGCCAAAGCATTCAGTTGAAAGTCCATTTTTCTGACTTTCGGTTTTTCACTGAAGTTATTGTTTGTACCCCAAGGAATAAGTGTCATACCAAAGCTGGGTCTAGAATTCTTCTCATCCTTAAACATATGTCAGAAGGTAGTCAGGATATTGTATGTTCACTGCTCTACTACAGATTACACGATTTCCTCCGACATTATTGGACATCGTTTAGTAAAATAACATACTATAGTCAACAGTAGCCATGTTATTCACAATAAGCTACTGATAGATGACATCATTCTATAGATAAGCATAATATAGTCTTGCTACCAGCACACCTGAACAAGATCATGAAACTAGCTCAGTTCTCCTGCTCCGGAGGCACCTTAAACCCAAGAATCATGCAAGATAGAACCTGTCATACTGGAACAGCATATGCTGAGTTGCATGGCTGAGTAAAACAGCACTAAACAGGCTCAGGCACCAACAGAAATCTGAATTTCCTTAGGAATAGAGATAGCAACTGAATCCTGGCTCTCTATGGGAGTGTGTTACACAACACTTCAGTGAAGGTTCCGATCATCCCTGAAGCAGAGGCATCTGCCTGGAATTCCTTAACCTATTCTATGCTGGGCAGTTACTCTGCAACTGAGCTATGTCTAACATATGGTCCTACCCACACAGTGACTTTTTTTTTTCTTTCTTTCTTCAGACACCATCTCACTATGTAAGTCACAGAATTCCTGTAACCAATCAGGCTTTAGTGTCATTGGTGGAGAGAGAACACCACACTCACCCTGAAGACTTTTTCTCTTGGTGCCTCCACTGTTTCAGTTTCCTCTGCCAACAGTTCATCACACTGTTGCCAGCACTCTGAAGGCTGTATTCTCCATATTCTAAGCCATCTGGAGGCCACGTTCAAAGGCCAGGTAAATGGCTTCTGAGACTGTACCCCCTATAAACATCCCACATCGTAGCCAGCACTGTAGGCTCTTCCTGGATGTGCATTAAATCATATGTACACATAAGACAGGAGACCATTCCTCTGCCACATTCACCCTGTTGTGAGATCTCACTACTGTTTAATTGCTCATATTGATGAAAAGCAGGTTGAGCAAAGAATGAGATATTCCTAAGCATGGTTGGAAAGTAACCACTCAGTTCCTCACATGGAAAAAGCTGACATGTTTATATTCAAGGATACAGCCATCTGAGGCTTTGAAAGGAGGTGGTGATCAATGGCGATGTCCCAGAAGAGTCTCCTGGAAAGTGCCCCTTAGCTAATGGTAACTACAAGGTGAACATCACCAGGGTTCCCCATGACGTCAGCAATCCATTTTCTCTACATTCTATTGTATCCTGGGGAGGTATTCACAATGCTTGTGATGTCACCACCTGCTCTTAAGGGCATTCATTCAGTCCCTATAGGTGGGCAAGGCTGAGAAGCGTCTTTCAGAAAGAGAATGTGGACAGTAGAATAACTGAAGAGAGGCAGAAGGCACCTGGCCTTCCATCTAATTTTAAAATATCAAGAAAGAAGTTGTCCTGGGGAAGGCACAATGAGTCCTGGGCAGAGGAGTTGGGTTTGAGGTGGGAGCTATAATAATGGGGCAGTGGAACAGGACCCTCTGGGAAGCAAATGAACGTTTCTGAATAACATAGGTCATGAAAGTAAAGGATTCCAGAGCAATATTTTTTCTGTCCCCAAAGCCAGGAGCTGGCAAGGCCAAAATTGTTTTAAGCGAAGTTCTTAGCTTTTCTCTTATTGGGCATTTGCGGTGTACCATGAGCACAAAAGGAGACCATCAGGGGTCAAGGAGGGCTAACATTTCCCAATTTATGGTAGGGCATCTCTGCACTTCACTCTCACAGGTTTCTTTTAGGTGCTGTGGCTATCTGACAGCAGTTACAGGGACAGAATGTGCTCCTGGCTATGACCTTATGTACTCATAACTCCTCTGACCACCTCTCCCTGACAGCGACACCCTTGGGTTTCTGATCAATAGTGTGGGCGGCAGGCATCTCTCTAGTACAGGCAAAGTGTCAGAGTCAGTGGAGCAGACATAGACTAAATCATTATTGCCAGCTCTGGCGTGTTTTGGTCTTTCTATGGGCAGAATTGTTCAGTCTGTTGACCATGTTCTACCACTGCATGAGTTTTTAATCCACAGGCACAGTCATAGAGTGACAAGGCAGGATCTCTGTGTGTCTCTGAAACACCTGAGTGATTGTGCCATTATTCTCCTGGCTTCTGAAACCACAGGCTTGAGGGCTGAGAAGCCAAGTTGCATCTCCTGGGTTTGTGAATAAGTCTGAAGCGGCCATATCTGTGGTCACCTGAAGCACAGGTACAGAAACAGAGGAAATGCCTGGCTGCTTAAATACCCACCTTTTAAGAGAGTGATGGCAGATCAGAGATACAGAGAGCAGGCCTCTCAGGCTTAGGACAAAATCTTTAACATTATATAACTGGGTTCTAGGCATGCTCTATTTGTGTCCATCCTCTGTGCCTTCTCACTACTCAAGTTCACTTCTGTTCACCCTACAAGGGCCAGTGGGGAGCCACCATCCCCCCCAGAGATCCCCTACAAGAAACAGGTGAAGACAGAAATGGACAGGCTGACCACTCAGCTGCAGCTGATGACCACAGACAGAAATGAGCTGCAAGATCGCCTGACCCTTATCACAGAAGGATCCTTGGACAATCGGTATCCATTATTTCAAACCCCATGGTGTCAGTCTTGGGTCTGCAAAGTCACCTCCATCTAATCCTTTTAAGGACACCTCCAGGGTGTCATGTCCCTAAATGCTTTTCAGAAGAGAGGCAGGAAATTAAGCTTGGGCAGCAGTGATATCTGGAAAAAATCATATGCTTCTTCCAAAGAAACCCAGAGCCTGTGCTCTGAATCACACAGCACAGGGATTGAGGCAGTGGAGAATGAGTTCCCAGCATGCATTTGGGAAAGGCTTGATAGGTGGTGGCTTGTGTGAGACACCAGCTACTGTGGGTTTGGCATTAGATTTTTACTTGCCTGGCAGAGATTTAATGCTGGAAGCTCCTGATAGCAGCTGGAGAGACCTTATCCTTCTTGGTTTATCTCAATTTAGGACAGGAAGACATGGAGCTCAATACTGTTCCCCTCTCTCCTTGTGCCTTATAATCTTGAGACAGTACCTGAGATACAGTTTTTCAGCATCCCATCCTTCTTCCTGTTTTTCCTTTCCTGCCTATCTTTATTGCCTTTTGTCACCACTCTCTGTGTGTGTGTGTGTGTGTGTGTGTGTGTGTGTACATACATATTTCCATGTTAGTGTATACCTCTAGACTCTTGGAGCCAGGGGTGTGACCTGTGGCCTTTGAGTCACAGTCTCAGTGTCACGCTAGTACTGGGATCTGGTTGTGCCACTTTAAGCTGTACTAAGCCTATATGGCGAGATTGGAGGCACAGTAAAATCCTTTGGGCAGTTTTTAAAGCTGTCCCTAGGCTAGATCTCATTGGCAGAAAAATGTCCGACTCTGTAGAAATAGTCACCAAGGATCAAGAATCACTGTTCTGAAAACAGGAGAAATGAAATCACAGGTATTTGGTGGACCAAAAGTTGTGGAATGCTTCCCTGAGACTATAATGGGGTAGACAGCCCCTCTTGGCTTACTGAGTGAGCTCATGCAGGCAGGGCACCTTTCACCTGGACACCCATAGCTTCTGCTGGCCTGGGACCAGGGTAACAAGTTGTGTAAGAAGCAGGATGAACTGGTACAGAGGATCCAGAATGTGTCATCTTCTGAACTTGGGTAGTTTACGTCACAACTTTAGTTAACAAGGTCCTTGAGGCAAGTATTCATGGGGTTCTTTGATTTTGGGGACAGGCCCTATCATAGGCCAAATCCTTTCAGTGAGAAACTCAAGACACAGCATTGGACCCTGCAGACTTTGGAGTATGAGCACACTGAAGCCTCACAGAACTTCAAGGAGCTTGTCAAGGAGACTGGCTTCTATAGGTAAGTGCCTGTCAGGGACTGTGGGATGGCCATCTCTGCTTGTCTTTATTCTGGACTGGAGAGTCCCCAGCTCTGGTTCTTTCCCTTCTGCCTCTTAGCCATCAGCCTGTCTGGGACTTTTGGAGTCAGATTTTCTAAATATGAAAGAAACTGTTAACCTCTCCCAGGAGTTTCATTCAAGCCTCTGGACCCTCTAGGAAGAAATCAGTTCAAAGCAGGACAGGGGTGTCAGGCAGCCTTGGGTATCTGGGAATCAGGCAGGGTTTTCCAGAGCTGAGTGTTATGGAGCAGGAAGATAGAATGTGCTCCCCGTGGTTCTCCTGTCCTACCTTGAGGGCATTTGTCACCTATTTTTTGATGTTTCCCCATTACCTGGGACAGTAAAGGACAGATGGAGACTCTTCTTTCTTTTTGAGGGACTGTGTTGGAGACTTTAGCAGTTGTTATTCTTTCATGAATTAGCTGTTCTCTGTTTATGGTCTTCTTAGTGCAGCACGCATGGTTGTATTGGGCTCTTTCCTAGGTCCTCCAGGAAATCTAGGGCTTTGTGGTGTTGATAGGCCCTAAGGTAGGAATGGCAAGAGCAGGCTAGCAGGTAGAGCAGGAGGAGGCTGTCAGAGGCTTACCCTTCAGAGGGTATTTCCAGCAACCTCCACAGTCAGATCCTGATGGAGCAGACATGAGGAAGCAGGACAATGAGAAAGTGCACAAGAATTGTATACTTCTAAAGCACCAGTTGGAGGAAATGCAGCAGATTTGTAAGGACCAGCGACCTCCAGACACTGCAACTGGACAAGGTCTGGGACCATTTACCCACTGAACTCTTTGTCTGCTCATCCACACACCTGAGCTTTCCCCTATCACCCTACTCACTAATCTATACTCCCAAACATCCGCCCACCTCATACAATCTGACTGTTCTTTTCTCTGTTATGAACAAGTTTCCTGGAAAATTACACTCTTGTGAGAAACTCGATTCTTGGCAAGCATACCCTTCTGTTCTGCTTGACGGTGCAGTCCAAAGAACAAAGTGGGGAATAAGATATCTCAGAATTACATGTTCTCTGGCTAGCTGGGGTGCAATGCACACAGACATTGGTACCTTCTGGGTCCTGTAATTATTTGGCATGGCAGAGTCATGTGGTATCAGGTGGGAAGCAGCTTGCAAAAGGAAGAGCCTAGTGCTAATGTCAAATGAGTGCTTCTCATTGTCATCAATTCCTGATGTCTTGTGGCCTTCTCCATTCTTCCTCACTCCAATGTGGCCTCTTCTGTTTGGCCAGCTCTTAATTTATTATGACAGACACCTGGGTTAGAGTTTCCCAGGTGTGTTTTCTTTGAGTTTGCTGGAGTGTGTATAGTTTGGAGCTGACTGAATGACAAGGGACATGTGAAGGATTTCTGACAGTTGGTTTGAGAAGGTCAGAGTCTTGAGATTTCAGAGGAAAAGTTTCTCTATCCACCTCAACATAGTCTAGCCAAGCAGAACTAGCTCCTCACAGCTATTTTAGTTCCCAAGAGATGATAGCAGAGTTGTGAGACCACTGAGAAAGAGCTTGTGTGCTGTGTTAAAACCCCATGCTCTTCTAACAGAAGCCCATGAGCTTTTTGGACCATCATTCAAGTGTGCATTTTCCAGAGGAGGCCATTTGGTTACTTTCATTTAAGTTTCTACCTTGAAATAAGGTTTCTTTTTTTTATTTTATATTTTTATTCTCATGATACTTGACTTTGTCACGTGTCCATAATTTATGGTGTGACATCTGTTTTTTAATATAATTTTTTTATTTATTACAATTTATTCACTTTGTATCCCAGCTGTAGCCCCCACTGTTGTCCCCTCCCAATCCTGCCCTCCCTCCCTCATCTCTTCCCATGCCTCTTCCTCAGTCCATAGATAGAGTTGTATATCCTCCCATTCCATTTGACCTTAGCTTATCAGGTCTCATCAGGACTGTCTTCCTCTGTTGTCTGGTAAGACTAACCCCTACCCCCCATCAGGGGGAGGTGATCAAAAAGCCAGCCATAGAGTTCAGAAACAAGGTTTCTTACCCCCCCCCAAAGCTTGCTGTTCTGGCTGTCCTGGCTGTCCAGCAAGCTCTTGGGTCCTCTCTGTGCTTTCACTTGAATGACAGTGTGTGCATGCCAGTGTTCAATCCTCCACTGAGAACACCATCTTGTCTTGAACAGGTGCAGGAAAGACTGGAGAAACTCCTGCAGTATTTGAGGAAGCAGACACAGCTGGCCATCCAGGAAAGAGACTTAGCATTAAAAATTCAGCATCAATTTGAGGAGCTCCAGATGAGTTAGGAGCCCAGGCAAGGAGGAGAAGGTAAAGCCATCTGGGCCCCTGTTCCTGGATTCTCTGCATTTTCTTGGCTTTTGCTCACCAGCAAGGCTAACAGCCACTCCTGGGAAAGAACACCTCAAAGAATTGTGCTGGTCCAGTCACTAGGAACTTCTGCCCAGGAAACAATATGTTTGCCACCTTATGAGCTAGCCTCATGACCCTGTTAAGGTGCTCAGGTTGCAAAGCTGTGTTATTTCTACCTATAAAATGATGTGATCCATCAGTGAGTCATCATGAATAACTTATTTATTGATCATTTATTAGGGTAGTGATTATTTAAGTAGTGATGTCCCTGGACTGTAGGAGAAAGTGCTAGTCTTTGTAGTAGAACAGAGAACATACAGTTCCCAGATCCAATTGTGACATGTGTTTAAAAGCTTAAAATTTTTGTAGGCCCTGACACTGTGTGACTCTGATGTCTTGGGATTACAAACAATGAATTCAGTTATAAGATCAGTGTTGACCATCCAGCACAGTTGAGGTGGTGGGAGATAGCTGCTTGAAGGCTGATATGGCAGATCCTGACCAGGCCTGGGTCCTAACTGCCTTCCTCTCCTAGGTCTGAAAAGCTTTACTTTGAACCAGAACTGGCAACAACCCATGAGAAGAGCCTTCTGCAGAAGGAGCTGCTGCATCAGGAGCCTCCTGCTGAGCCCAGCCCCAGCAAACACAGAATTTCTGGGAAGAATTGTTTTCTTCAGAATGGGATACCTTGCTGTGAACAGGCCCTAATTTTATCTAGCCAGTGAGCCAGCAGACTGCTTCTGGGTCTCATTCCCTATTCTTTTCTGATAACACCCCTTGAGAAAGCTGGTGTCTCCCTTGCCACTAAGTGTTCAAGACCAGCCATAAGCTGTGGGTCTGTCCTGTTAAATTTGCAATGAGAGAAGGCTACTAGGCATAATATTTTGTGTGAGTTATGGTTTTGCTTACTTTGTAGTGGTTATTGTTGTTGTTTTGATTTTTAATTTCTTATTTGGATTTTACATTCTGGTTTTTGTTTTGCAAACTTTGATTAAATTACTCACTTTTTAATGACTACCCTATTAATGACTGTTTTAAATATTGTATTTTCTTATGATTAAAAATGCAATTTCCAGCTCTTCACTCTTTTTAAAAAATTTTGTTTAATCAATTTACACTCCAATCCCAGTCCTCTCCCTGCTCTCCTCCCCTTCCCATCTTTCTTCCTCAGAGAAGGGGAAGCCCTCCTCCGGTTTCAGAATTAAGAGTTTATACTACCTCCCTGAGCCTCCTTTATTCAGGGAGGCAGCTTCTCTCTCCCTGGAATGAATTCTACCCAACACTACCCTCCTCTTCACCACCAGACAAGAGCAAAGGGATCTAAAATGTCAGTGTGGAGCCCATTACAGCCCAGGCCCAACAGCTTCCCTTTACTCAGCCCTCAGAGTCACCCTCTGACATATGTATCTTTATTAGTCTTTCTACTGAGCTAATGGAGAATTTGAGTTATGAAGGAGCCAACTAATGTGGCAAAGATGAAGGGGAGTTAATATTCACACCCATGGTAGAGTGCAGCCTGGCTACTCAAATCTCTGAGTTCAGCACTCAGCACTGAAAAAATATATCATACCAACCTGAAACACACACACACACACACACACACACACACACACACACACACACACAGACCTGAGCAAGCCACAAATTTCTTGTTTTCTGGGTTCATTTACTTGAAAAACTCTTTTCCAGCCCTTTACTCTGAGGTGGTGTTTATCTTTGTTGTAGAGGGGTGTTTCTTGGATACAGCAGAATGTTTGACCCTGTTTCCACAACCATTTCGTTAGTCTGTGTCTTTTTATTGGAGAGTTGAATCCATTGATGTTGGTAGATAATAGTGGACAATGAATGTTAATTCCACTTATTGTGGAGTTGTGGTGTTACTGTGTTTCATTGCTTGTTTGTTTTTTTTTAATTTTTGTTGTGAAGTTATCTGTATCCTACATTTTCTTGGGTATAGTTGTTTTTCTTGGATAGGAGTTTTCCTTCTAGTATCTTTTGTATGTCTGATTTGCTGAGTAGATATTGCTTAAATTTATTTTTGTCCTGGAATACTTTGTTTCTCCATCTATGTTGATTGAAAGTTTTGTTGGGTATAGTAGCCTGGGTTGGTCCCTAAAAGTCTGCATGACATCTTCCCAGGCCATTCTGGCTTTCATAGTTTCTGTTGAGAAGTCTGGTGTGGTTCTGATAGGTCTACCTTTATATGTTACTTGGCCTTTTTCCTTTGCTGCTTTTAATATTTTTCTTTGTTCTGTAAATTTAGTGTTTTGACTATGATGTGGAGTTTCTTTTCTGGTCTAGTTATTTGGTGTTCTGTAGGCCTCTTGTATGTTTTTGGATACCCCTTTCTTTAAGTTGGGAAAATTTTCTTCTGTGATTTTCTTGAAGATGTTTTTCAGAACTTGGAGCCTGATATCTAATTTTTCATCAATTCTTATTATTCTTAGATTTTGCCTTTTCATGGAGTCCTTGATTTCTTGGATGTTTTGTGTTTGGGGATTTTCCAGTTTTACTTTTTCTTTGAGAAAAGTATCAATTTCTGCAAGTGTCTTTTTATCACCAGAGTTTCTCTTCTCCATCTCTTGTATTCTATTGGTGATGCTTACCTTTGTGGTTTCTGATCTTTTCTCTAAGTTCTTCAGCTCCAGGGTTTTCTGTTTGTATTGTCTGTATTGATTCTAATTCTGTTTTCGTGCCTTGCACCATTTCCTTCATCTGTTTGAATGCTGATTCCTATCTCTCTATGATGGTCTCTATTTTTTTTTTTGTTCATTTCCTCTGTATATACCACTAATTATGCCTCTATTTGTTGCCTCTATTTGTTTGGCTATATTTGCTTGTATTACTTTGAGAGCTTTCTTCATTTCCTGTTTATTTGCCTCCATTTGTGTGGCTATTTCTTTGAGAGATTTATTCATTTCCTCTTTATGTGCCTCTACTAACTGGATAATCATAGCTTTAAAATAATTTTCCTTTTTTCCCCGAATGGAGTATTCATTGATTTTGGGGATTGCTGGTGAAGCCATGATGTCCTGATTTTTGTTGGATGTGTTCTTACGCTGACCTCTAGCCATTTGTTTATCCATAACCTTCACTGTTTGTTTCTAAATTCTGTAGTTCTGACTGGGACCGCCTTTCTCTGGTGTCTGGAGTATTCTTCAGGAAAATGAGAGAGGTCCACTGGTTTGAGAGTGTGCATTCTCTCCCTTTTTGGGCCTTCCTCCTTCGCAGTGTAGGTAGGCCCAAAAAGGGGGAGGGCAGGGGGATTGATTGTTCACCACTCTGTGTCCCCAGAGAAATCTGTGGGTG